AACCCTCAGTGTGTTTTCACTCATCCGCCTCTCCCACAACCCCCTCCTCCCCCTCATCGCAGTTCCCCACCAGCCCCCTGCCCTGCCTTTGTCAGTGTGGCAGCAGCTGCAGCAGCATGTAGAGGATCTGATAGACATCTCATCTGATAGCCCCTTTTATAAAGCCATTACAGTCTCTCATGGCCACTCTGCTCTCACTGTATCTCTGCTGTCAGCTGCACAAACACACCCAAACACACAAGACTGGCCCCTCCTGACTGTATTGGATCAAAGCCTGTAGCTTGTATTCAGGTCTAAACCTTGTAGTAAGGGCTCCTTTACCCCCTGCTCCAAAGCCCTCATCCCACAGTTTTGACCTTTAACCTCCAGGCCTCATATTAAGCACATTGAATCCCATACAGCCTCTGAATTTCAGGTGGGTGATGATTTAACATACAATATTTTGTATTGATTTATGGAGCTGTCTATCCTAATGGTGATAAGAGTAGAACTTGAGAACATCTGAAAATTTGTCCTTAGTGGTTCTCAAAATTGAACAAATTCCAGTAAATTAAACATGAAACGGAAACATCATGAAACTGACAGATTAATATATTTTTTTGTAGGTCTCCAAAAAAACATTTATAGTATATTTTTATGATACATGTATCACTGTCAATTAAAGACCCCCTCTGATGAAAATCAACTTTTTAACTTTGTAAACATGTTCAAATGGTGTTTTTTTTATATAATAATAATACAAGACATATCATGGCTGAGTATTTCCACCTTGAACCAGTCTCATAAAAACAGATTCAGACAGCCAGGGTTTTATACGTCACAAACCAATCCTGTCAACTTGTGGGGATGGGGGCGGGGCAAAATTAACCTGAAACCCTTTCAGTTCAGAGAGTGAGAGTTTGCATTAGCACAACCACTAACACTGTGTGACTGCCAGTTACAGGCTAATGAGCTAACAAACAACCTAAACAAATAAAAGATGCTAACTATGCTAACCGTTCTGATACGTCTTCTAGTTGTCGATATTGGACACAACAGACTCCTCATCTGAGTCTGGGTCTGACTGAGGCTCAAACATATGGCCGAGTCTCTCTGATGTTTCCTCCTCTAACCATTTTGACGCTCTCTGCTTTTTCACCTGTCAACCTAGCGCAAGCAGCAGTGGTGGGCGGGGCACAAGGACTGATCCAGATTTTCTCAGTGAGGAAGTGAGCGTGCATTTGCTTGCAATTCCAGTTTTCCATTTTTTTTTTTCACTTTTAATGTGGGGAAAACCATGTTAAACATAATATAGCATATAAGCATAGCAGAGAAATTTTTTTTATTTTTTATTTTAAAACATGTCAAGAGAAGAACTTTAACTGCCAGATCATTACTTTTCTCTCATGGTGGCCTTAACATTTTAGAAGGAACTGTTCAGTGTCACAGTTGTCTAGAAGAACAACAGTTTGTGACAGAGGATAGTCAATTGTTCAGGTGACAGGAAACCAGTAGGAACAGAGATAGTGAGCGGTTAAACAGCTCCAGTGCAGGTGTCACCACAACAGTGTGACACCACATAGGTCAGAGTGAGCAAGTTCGTGTCTTTGTTTTTGATTTTACTTTATTCCAGAAGAGGCTGAATCTGACTTTTTTTGTGAAAATTTTGGTGGAGACCTGTTTGGTCTGGATTCATTTAGTTTTCATTCTGTCAACGAGTTGGTTGTATACGCACATAAAGGCTATCAAAGGACTCTGCTTACTGTAGCCCGTGTACAGCAGCCCTGATGAATGTCCTGGCTTTCCTGGGACTTTTGTCAAGTGAGGCAGATTAGACAACCAGTCAAATGGCATAGGGCACGGTAAAGACACATGAGCAAGACCATCTAACCAAACGTTGTGAAATGTTACTGCAGAGGACTAAAAACACTTTGTGTACAGTGACATGCTAGAAAAAATGTATCTGTTTCATTATTGGTGAGTAGTGCAAAAATTGCAAATGCATTATACAGCTCAGACTGCATACGGCCTTTCGTCTGGGTGTTTCGAAGCTGAGCCCTCTTCCGTCAAGAGGCTGGAAATTGTGTAAGAATCTGCAGCCTTTCACTCTACATCCAAATGAGAGAGAGTAAGTTTTTTGGCTGCTCTTCAGTTGCTAACAGGCCTAATGGTGACTGGAAGAGCATGAAATTACTGAGATGGGCTTGGCTTTGTTGTTGTAAGCGCGCACGCACATAAACACACACACACACTTATACATTCACACACAAACACAGTGAATGCAACTACCAAGGCACAGAACAATGATTCTCACTTATTCCACTTTAACCTGTTGTTCCTCTCTTCACTTTAGTCTATTCCCTGCTCTGCCAGTGCCACTCACTGACTCACTCTGGATTGTTTGGTTTCTTGATCAGTGTAGTATGAGGAAAACACAGCTGGTGTTTGAATGTATTTTCTAAATACCTTTCTAAATACCTTCTTGCAGTCACAATCATTGATTGAGTTGTACCATTGCCAGCTACAGTATGCTGTGTACATCACATGCAAACTGTGCATGCATGCTCAATGACAAAAAGTATGCAGCATCTGCTATCTTAAATAATAAATAATTTGACCCAAACAGCATCGAGATTGATACAAGTCTGCTATCAGTAGAAGAATACTTTGCAATGATAAATAAATCATGCCTGTCTCACTGAGTAACTGGGCACTGCATGATGCCAGAATACAGTCAGAAATTGTGTAGATACATTTGTCTCTCACATTCAAACAAGTTGTTGTAAATAGCTTGTCCTTTCCCTGGGGTTGTGTCTTTTCAGATACATCAGGAATGCCTGGAGGGAATTTCATTACAAATGTCCACTTATGAGTATATGAGTCTGGACAGACATAGATATAAACTGCAACTACAAACTGCTTGACCATTTTGACTAGTTGGAGGCATACATCATTCTAGTTCAGTGTTGTTTTTAACAGTTTTAGATTTGTACTTGATTGATTGACTTCTACTTCAAGATTTCTACTTTGCATGTACGCTTTGCAGCTTACTACTTTCAGCTGCTCTTTTCATGTGAGATACAGAAAATACACTTGTTCCACTGAAGCTTGTGTCTTTTCCCAAAACTCACTAATTAATCTTCAGTTTAATTGATCATTATGTGGAATCAGTTCTCGCAAACCAGAAGGACTGGAACTTCACCTCACTGCATGTGGGCTTCAGTTTATGTGGTTGTGCTTCATCAATTGGCACTTCACTGTAGCAAAACAACATCAAACACAGACACAGGCACTCTTCCATCATCACAGACGATATTTGCAGTAGCACAAAAGTAACTGGCAATGAATTTGTACCTGCTGGATGTGATGGTGTGAAAACTGCTTATTGTCTCAGTTTAACAGGAAATTAAACCCAGGAAGTGTCGTTAGCACATGCACTTCAACAGTGCAGCTCTGCTGACTATCAAATAATTCTTGTGTTTCTTAAAAATTTTATTGTATTATTGAGCCTTTGTTACAGAAAGTGGGAACATGAAATGAAACTGCAAAAATGCATTTTACATGTGCACTGATTTTTAAAGATGAGGCTGCATTATTCAGTTTTTTCATTAGCAAACAAATGATGTGAAAAGACCAAACCCATTGTGTTAATCCAGCCCTCAGTTTTCTAACGTGTGTATGTGTGTGTGTGTGTGTGTGTGCATGCGTGAGTGCATGCGTGTGTGTGTGTATTCCCTCCTCGTACACTAGTGCAGTTTGTATAACATTACATACATGACACATCAACTGTCTTAGTGTGGAGAAGCAGGGTAATGCTGACAAATGGTGAGCAGTGATGTGACTGTATGAGAAGTAGACAGATTAAGGTAATGAACACACACCTGTTCAAGCTGAAGTAAATGTCTGATCATTAGCTCACTTTCTTATCTAGTAAGTCTGTGCTTTGCATGTACAGTGTCAGTTTGCTTCAGCAGTGACTGTATGTAGAGGAACTTCTGTAGCACAAGCTTTAGATCAAGTATATCGCTGCTCTATGGAGTAAAAACAGTCTGAGTCAATGATAGAGTGAGTCTGTCATTCACAGAAGCTGTTTGTTTGTATTACAGTCAGTTAGACTGTAACACATTGAACACTATTTATTGAATACAGCATTTTGATTTAATAACTGAAAATTTTTATTTAAAAATTTAACAATAATTAACATTTATTGAATATACATAATGTGTGGTAATGTTATGATAAACTGATGTTATGATATGAGCTCATTTGATTCAGGTCTGTTCATTTTGTACACTGTGTGAGATTTCAAGGCCAAGATTAGACAAATCAAATCTTACATGTGAGTTCTGAGCTGTGAGGTTAAACTCTCTATTTCTCTCTGTGGCACTGCTCTACTCTGTTGCATATTATATAGACCGATTGGACATGGAATGGAAAATTACTTTCGAAAAACATTTACCTCATAAAGTGGTGTACAAAGTGAAAATTAGATAAATCCTCTATCATCTTTAATTTTACTCAATAGCTGTGTTTTCTTCACAGCAATCATTGTTTTTCATAAGACATGGTTTAAAAAAGAAATGTCACCTATTTCAAGAATTCATGCGTCATGTTCTGTAAGACTAACCCTAACCCACACATCATGTAACAGATGTGATATATGGTGTGTGATTGAGCACAGACACTTGTCAACTGACAGTTTTACATTTAAGATATTTTTTTGTTTTTATGATTTATTTTTCTAGACTTTTGAGAAATGAAGCACTTTGAACATTTTGTCGGATGTTTTCCGTTTCTTTAGATTTGCTTCCATAAATTACAGATTATTATAATAATATCTTTTCCATGATATTATGTGTATTGTGCCAAAAAAGCATCGGAAAGATCTGCTCTCATGTCCCAGTTCCAGTAAACAAAATATACAAATACACTGAGAGGTTCTGGTGGTCAAATAATCTCCATATGGTGTCTGTCGAGCATTTGAGGCTATAATGGTGCACCAACTGTTTCCACCTCTGCAGGAGGAACCTGACCAAGCTGTCTCTGATCTTCAGTCACATGCTGGCTGAAATCAAAGCCATCTTCCCTGGGGGACAGTTCCAGGGCGACACTTTCAGGATCACCAAAGCTGATGCTGCTGACTTCTGGAGGAGATTTTTTGGAGAAAAGTAAGTTTCACCTCATATTGGCTTTTTCTTTTGCAGCTCTCGGCTTATGCTTTAGTTTTTCTTTTATGATTTCATGCTGTGATAAGGCGAAACCGCTGTCACTGTATTTGGATGTTTCCTGTTTTTTTCATCTCCAGGATCCAGTATCTGTTTATTGATGGTTCAAACATTTACATGCTGCTTCTCCATATAATGACATTAGGGAGATGCTTGGATGTTGGACACACTCACACACACACACGTACAGACATGCTATGAAGGGTAAAAAGGTTGATGGATGAATAGACCAGGTACATACACTTGTGTGATTATGTGTGTACGTATGAGTGTGTGTGATTAGTCCAAGTCAGTCATACAGACACATGTGTGACTCTTAACTCTCATTATGTGCATGCAATGCAATAGCATTAAAGGCATATATTATTATTCTGCATACTTATTATGTGTGAATGCTGAATGAAACAATCCCACTATATGTTGTTGTCAGGTCGAAAAACAAACATTCCATTTATTAGTGTTAAAAAGCCAATATGAGGTATTGCTATTCAAATCTTTATTATTATATCAAAACGTCTGGCTTTTTCTGTAGATTATCGGATGTATTCAACTTTTTGATATTATTTATAATTTTTGAAATATTAAGCTTTTTATGAATTTTTTTTTTTACCATTCAAATGAATGGAGACCATGTTCAAATCCTTGAAATCTTCAGGCTCTTTACACTTTAACTACTTCAGCATACTTTCAGCTACAGACTTCATTCAACCTTTAAACTATAGAGAAGCCTTTCAGCTGTTAAACTTGTATTCAAATTTTTGATATCTTGAATTATCACGGTTTTAGTTTTAAGCTTTTTTCTGATCATTTTTGAGTTTATAACGGGTGTGTATTGCACGGAATGTTCGAGGCTAGAGTGGATGACATCATCGCTTGAGTGGGAGAAACTCTAGAACTCCTCTGAAAAAATTCTGTTTAACTTGTCCTTACGGCCACATATTTCAATCTACACACATCATGGCTTCCTCATTAGTAGTAAAATTTGTCCTGTTTCATTCAATGTGTCTCCCTTAGCAGAGACTTACAGAATTTGAACATAAGCCTCAAAACGATGGGAGTCCCCTCCACCTCTCCCATTAACTGCAATACAAATTCAGGCGCTGATTTACCCAAAAATGCAGAAGTGACAATTTTCTGTAACTCACTCCTTTGTCCACATTTTTGGCTCTAGAAACACCAAAACCAGATATGCTGTGCACGAAGATCTTGTGCCAGTCATGGTCCGCTCATGGTTCTGATAGGAGTTACCGTTTTTTCATTTTTAATCATATTTTTAATATTAATATTTTTTAAAGTTATGATAGCCAATAAATTAATAGACAACTGAAGAGCCAACATTATGGTGTCCAGCTTGTTGGAGGAAAAACGGTCCAGGTCCGGGCCAGAGACTAAGTCTAGACCTCTTCACCAACACTTAACTTTCTACAAAACCTTTACTGGAGTCAAAAAAAGATTAAAAAAAGAGGTCACTGGAGGTGATCAGAGTCCAATGCAATAGAATTTATTCTTTCATAAGAATAAAAGCGAGATCAGATCCAGATCCGAACTGAAGACAGAGGGCCTGTGCACAATCATATATAGTTATTTCTTGGGTCAGGCCTCGCTACGGCTGCTACTCCAACACCACTGCTCCCAGGGCCTTCAGACCATTTTTTTTTATTCCCTCCAGGTTCCATTCTGTAACAATCTTACTTCAGTAAAAGCTGGTTCACTTACAAATCTAACCTCAGTTGTGTGTATAGCTATTCCATTGGATTATGTAAGTTTAATATTCAGTATATTTATAATGCTTAGTATATTTTAGTGAAAATTTACTACAACATTTCCCCTCTTTGGGACTAACTAGTCACACATTCACACATTATCCAGTGAAGCCATTGCTAGGGTACAACAAACAGTTGACAAGTGACAATAGCAGTCATCAAGACAATGGTCCATACATAATAACAGGTTCAAACATAAGTATATAAAGGATTGCAAATGGATCCCGTATTATCATTCTTACTTATAACATAACCTCACACATCGTGACATAGTTAAGGGTTATGCAGTAGGCTTGTTTCTAATTAAACACATTTAGCAAACTTGGATAATTGAAATTGTCATTGAAATTGTCTACACTCCCGGATCTGACTCGATACACATCACAGCAAACGGTTATATGGGATCCAAAGAGAATCAAAGAGAATATGAGTTTAACATCCAGTGCAAATTCAAAGATATGCATAATACTCAGTGTGTACTTCTTCAAACATAATACTCTTTTGTGCTAACTAATCTATTGTTATAGTGTGGTGTGTTGTTCGTGTGTGTATATGTGAGAGTCCGTGACATTATATAGTCCACGGTGATTGGTGTGTTGTATGATCCACAGTTCACTGTGGCTGGGTGTTGGGACGCATTCCGATTCCTCGTAGGCGTTGGTAGTACTCAGTGACGTCATTACAGACTCTCAGGCAGTGAGTAAGATCCTTTTTCTCAAGAGCCACTTCTTCCAGTTGTTTTTGAATCTGGTTATAATGCTGGCGCTTATTTCTCCGGTACCATTTGGTAGCACATTGCTTCAGTGCCTTTCTCCTCATACAGCATGTCCTGAGGCATATCCTCCTTGGGCTGGTACAGTGTATCCGGTGGTAGTCGGGTGTTGGGCCATCTATCCTGGTTCTATTGGTCCTGGGGCTGTTGGTCTTGGCAAGATAGGACCTATTCCTGAGGGGCCTGGTGCCCATTCCTGCAGAACTGGATCTGTGCCCGAGGAGCCTTCTGCTACGACTCATCTTCGACTTTTAAGGTCTTAGACATATCCTCTGCTGCTGCTCCGGAATGGCAGCTTCCCTCTCTTCTGTGGCACCTTTCATCTGTTGGAAGATAACTTTATGGATATGTTAGATACTGTACATAACTGGTTAATTCTTATCCTAACTGTTCAATCGGAGGTCCCTCATACGGGCCTCTAAGATATGGCACAGACATTGGTCTCCCTGTGCACATTTCATGAGGTGTTAGGTGTGTTAGTTTGTTAGTCTGTGATCTCATAGACATTAGTGCCAGTGGTAAAGCCTCCATCCAATTAAGTTTACCATTGCTGTCTGCCATTATTTTTGCCAATTTTGCTTTTAAGTACCATTAGCTCGTTCTACTGCTCCCTGTGACTGAGGATGATATACACACCCAAACTTCTGCTTTATCCCTAGCATCTTTAATGTTATCTTAATTGCTTGTGGTACAAAATGTGGTCCATTGTCTGAGCTGATAGTATTTGGCAAAGAAAGCTGTGGAAAAACCTCTGCACAAAAAGTTGGCCACTGATTTATAGTCTGGTTGCATCGTTGGTGTTGCTTCAATCCACCTACTAAATCTATCAACCATCTGGTTGCGGAATATTCACAATCGGTGTCGAAAAAGCTTTCCTTGTGTTATATTGTGCACACACTTCACATTCATGCAATGTTCTATCAACTGTGGCTGCCAGAAATGGAGACCACCAAACTGCTTGGAGGCATTTGATAACCTCCTCCCTTGCCCAATGGTTAGAACCATGCGCATTCCTTATAGCAAAATGCAACAATGAAACAGGCAACACAAAATGACCATGAGAACTTCTCCACAAACCCTTTTGAGGACCATCTTGTATGACCTTGTCTGTATTAGAGAAGATAGAGTTGTTAGAGGTTCAGTACCTTCAGCTACCAACAGCTACCAAGCTTCTTTATACAGATCATCACGTGCTCACATGAGGGTGTCTGTTGTTTGGACATGAAATTCAAATATCCCCAGAACACTATCAAGCAGCGGAAGATAAGGATATATGGGAGCCAAAGTGATTAAAGGAGGTGTGTCAGCATCAGCGGAATTGGTGATAAATCAACCTAACTCCGTCAGGCCCTGAATTGTGGGATTCCTTGATTCCTTCTATACAATGCTGCTTCAGTGGGTATTGTTTTCTATATGGCAACATAGCTCCTGGTTTACGCTTAATATGTATAGGTTGCGCTACTTTAATCCTACCTACATCAGTCTTGTGTTATGACCACACTGCTTGTGCCACTTGTTCTAACAGGATTTTATGTTCTGGTGTCAATGGCATAAGTGTAGGTGTTCTTATCTTTACTATGACCTTTTCTGCTGTCCCTTCATCACATGCTCTTAATAATATTGCGATGTATGGTTGTCCTGGAGAAATGTGAATGTACTTATTCTTTGTAGGTTTCCACTCTTGTATTTATAATGCTGCATTTACCATTGGACCAAGTTCATGTGATTCATGTCCTTTTGTCACTAACAGTGTGATATGTGGGGTGGAGTTGCAAACTTGGAACCTGACTTGTAATTCAGGTGGTCATAGTAGCAGCTGCTCCTTGTGGTCCTATACAGTGCTGTGAAAAAGTATTTGCCCCCTTACAGATTTCTTTGATTTCATGTTTCAGATCATCGGACAAATTTTAATATAAGACAAAGATAACCTGAGAAAATACAAAATGCAGTTTTTAAATGATGATTTCATTAACTATGGGGAAAAAGCTATCCAAACCAACCTAGCCCTATGTGAAAAAGTAATTGCTCCCCTTGTTAAATCATGAATTAACTGTGATTAACCACATTTTTGGAAAGCTGAGTTCAATTTCACTAGCTCCACCCAGGCCTGATTACTGCCAGACCTGTAGAATCAAGAAATCACTTATAATCACTAATAGAACCTGTCTGACAACATGAAGTAAGCTAAAAGAAAGCAACACATCATGCCCCGATCCAAAGCAATTCAAGAACAGATGATAAACAAAGTCATTGACATCTATCAGTCTGGAAAGGGTTATAAAGCCATTTCTAAGGCTTTGGGACTCCAGCGAACCACAGTGAGAGCCATTATCCACAAATGGAGAAAACATGGAACAGTGGTGAACCTTCCCAGGAGTGGCCAGCCTACAAAATTACTCCAAGAGCAC